CACACACACACACACACACACACACACACACACACTAGTCAGCTGATAGAGGAATGCATGGATTGCTGCCAGTTGGTGCAGTGGCACTACAGAAATCTTTCATGTGGATCAGGAGGCAAAGTTTTTTCCCACCGTTCACTGGGGTTGGTTTGTGCCTTTAGGTGTTCTCACATCTATTTAAGTCTTTGCTCACAAAAGTTACAAACATTGAACTGAATGCCTTGTTTTTATGTTGATAGCTGAAACTGGCTTTGATACTGTGTTGGATCATCAGATGTGATGGGATGGTCTCTGTTGGTTGAAAGTCTGATGATTTATGTTTACAAGAACAGTATGGACATTAACGTGAAGGTTCTCAGTCCAGGTCATTCTCGTAGATTAATCGTAGCAACTGGACTTGCTTGAGTTCCTTAAAGACGTTCCACCTCTCATCCAAAAGGCTTCATCAGTTCTGACTGATTAGTTGGGAGTTCCAGATACTTATAACCTAAAGGAGTCATTAACACCTGAGTTTCAGTTTGGCCAGAGAGGACAGATGGTTTGAAAGAGGGGTGAAAGAAGCCATCGATGTCGAACTTGAAAGACCATCCCTCAACAGAGGTGGAGGTCTGAGGCATCATCTCTCACCTGTTTACAATTCAGTCCTAAGATCTCACCCCAGGAAAATGAAACTGCATTCACACCTAGCCACAAATGACCCTAATGGACCCCATTGTGTCAGGGGGAGCACTAACGACTCACATAATGAGGGGGAGGAGCAACAAACCCCCAATTGAAACCGAAGCTCAGGTGTTAATGGCTCCTTTAGGTAATAAGTATCTGGAACTCCCAACTAGTCAGTCAGAACTGATAAAGCCTCTTGGATGAGAGGTGGAACGTCTTTAAGGAACTCAAGCAAGTCCAGTTGCTACGATTAATCTAGGAGAGTATGAACATTAGGCTTGGTCTCACGTCAGATTCAAGAAGTTTGGCTGCTTTTGTTCAATGAACGGCTTCATTCTTGAAGTAATTATTGGATTATTTGAATTCTAAATTGCACAATGGCTCTTGTTTTGCTATCAAGTTTTAAATTTTGTTGATATTGGTCAGTACAATACTGCAGCTGAGTGTCTTTTTGACAAGGAAACCCAGTAACAGACTGATGGCAGCATTAAGATAGAGTCATATAGTTTGTGTGAAACCTTACAAAAGACGAGATGCTCACCGGCTGCGTTCTGTCAACCTGTCCTTACTCAGTGAAATGTTGGTCGTCGCTGGGATCTCTGTTTTTAACCAAGCTGCCTGAGTGTAACTGCAGTTTATACAACGTTTTCCTTGATGCTTAGACCTGCCGGGAGATCAACTTTAGCCGTTTGCCAGCCTTGCAACACACCAGGAACCCTAGTTATTCATTTTTGGTTCATCCAGTTTCCTATCGCTCTGCAGTGCTGAGATTAGTTGTGAAAACTAGATCAACTCAAAGTATATGTCCCTCAAGTGTGAGAAGCTGGTTCACGCTTTTATAGAAGCACATCCAGCAGCGACTCACATCCGGTTGTAAAATCATTTCTTCATGTCAAAGCATTCTCAGTCAGTCTCAGTACAAAAAGCGCTTCATGACATCATCAACAAATTGACAATTAAATTCGTTGTCAAATAGGGATGCCAGTTTTTGAAGATTTCTTTTACTGAAGGTCAGCCTGTGTTAAGAGGCAGTCGTCAACTAACCATTAGATGATCCTGAGCGTTAGCAGTGTTAGTTGCTCTGCTGACAGAAACGTAGTACCTGGTCTGTGTTAGCATTTAAAAATCCTGCTTTAGCATTAGCATTAGCCTTTGATAGCTAGCTAAACCAGACAGCCACCAGACAACTTTTTTACAGCTTGATGTTGCAGAGTTCAACAACATGATGGTTAGCGGTTAGACCGCAGTGAGGAGACCTTGCATCAGGCCCCATCAGGCAGCCAGCAAACTCACCTGTAGCTCCATCTCATTTAACAGGAAGAGGCTTCACTTGGTGGAACAAATCATTTTCTACTCATACCTACTGACAACCAATTTGGTCATCAATTTTTGTTCAGTCCAAACCTACTGGATGAAAAACAGTCTTGATGATTGTCACCAAAAAAAAATAAATCTCTGTAACAATAATACATTTAGGAGACTGTTGTGTTTGGTTGCCTCATTTGCACTTCATCTTATGAGGCTGCAGCAGCAGGTTTATGCATTTAGGATCAAGACAAGGAAAGAAAACGTCGGCCCAAGTCGAGGAAGTTGTGGTGAAGAGCAGTCACAGGGCATCACTGATTTGGAAATGTTTTTAATTTTTAAAGCTGGATAAACAGCAGGCTGGTGTTTGCAAGATCTGCAGGCGACGATGCTGAACTGCTCGCTCTCTCTTTAGCAACCAAGTTTGCTAACAAGCCTGTTATATTAGACAAGTAGCTGTTTGTCTATTTGTCAATTTTTGATAATGAACATATTTTATATTATTCTTAATATGTGCCACATAAAATTCAATGTCCAGTTCCTTGATACAACAGCAGATATCATAGAGGACTGTTTTTGCCTTCTCTGTGCCTCCCTCCAACACTGAGTACGGCAGGGCCTCAGTGTAACCTGTGTGAGGAATGTGAGCTGGAGTGTGAGTTTAGCTAGGAGGAGCTGTGATTAGATTTGAACCACTTCTCTAACATAATTAAGTGTCCTAAAGCAGGATCCTTACGCCTCCCAGGTCTCAAAAGACATTCACATACTCACGGGCTGTCACATTGACTTAAATGAACTGAACACAAAGACAGAATATGTGTCATTTTTGAACATGACTAAACTGCGGCTACAATGTGCTCAGGATCAGAACCCAAAAAACTCACAACTGTAGAGGCCAGACAGGTCATGATATACCTGCTTTCTCTGCTAAAACCTTTTAGTCCTGTTGTAGTCTGACTCACCGGATGTAGGATGCAGGTAGAAGCTTGTCAAAGGCTGCTTATTTCAGGCGGTTTAGTGTTTCCCTTCCGCTGTCTTGTTGTTACCGTTTTCCTAATACGACAAACTGTAACCTTTAAGCAGCCACACTGAAAATTTCAAGTTTTACCAAGGATTTAGACCGTATGGTGAGGCAACCATGCTGGTGTTTTTTCTGTGAATTATCTGTTTTATGCACGATGCTTATCTCCCTGAATGCAAATGTTCCATCAAAACACTTTCACCCATCACTGGACTCAGGATGTGTTTAGCTTAGTTTAGCACAAAGGCTGGAAGCGGAGGGAAACATCTAGTCTGGCTAACTACACTTCTAAAGCTGGTTAATTAATAACTACGGTTATATTCAACCAAAGAATATCTTGGCTGACTGAAATTGTACCGAGTTGTTAACGGATCGATTGTTCACTGGGTCAACTTTAAAACAAATAATGAGCCACGGTCCCTAAGTGCACTCTGCCTGTTGGCTTTATTTACCTAAATAAATTCTAAATCGACATAAAAAGCTAATATTTGCAGCATATTAAATTATTTTAGCTTGGTGTTTTCATGCTGAAATCGTAACAAATTTAGATCAGACCAGTGTGCACCTGCCCATATTCGTATGTTCTGTGAAAATAAAACTGTATTAACTGATGATCTCAGCACAAGAACTATTGAGGAACACAAGGCAGAGGAGTTTTCTTGCAGATTTTAGATGATCTGCTATATTTGTTGAGCTGTGACACGAAAACTGATGTTTACAAAGTTTACACTTGACTTGTTGATCTGTTTGAGAAAAAAAAATGCAGCCAAACCGATGACTTCTTTGACATGGCCTCAGTTAGTTTGGAGTCGACTGAGAGTTAAATACGTTACACCTAGCACTCTCCATCGGGTTTGGTGAGTTCAAGGTTGTGCAGATATTCAGGTGCTCACAGGTAGTCTGTTGCTCTCGCTCCACATTACAACAGATTAATCCTGGGAGACTGCTGTTAAAGAGCTTTTCTTTCATGACAGTAATACCTGTGATTGAAGGACCAATGAGACTTGGTTGCATATTGACCAACCAGTTGACCAGTCACATGGGCACTGCAGCCCTGTGAACAAGATAGTTCTTTTTTTCCCCCAAATATCACATGAAAACGTAAAAACTCACCATAGATTCAAGTGGGATTGTGTGATGGAGTTGCTGTGGAACTATTCTTTTAAGGTGTGCACCTGTTGGAGGCAGATGACAGTTGTGTCGGCCCAATTCTAGGGCTGGAAAGATCAATTTCAAATTCCAATCATTTGAAACAATGCACTTAGCAAATCTCAAATTATAATCATACACAACATCTGACCTCGGGTTTAAGCTGTCTTCATGACTTCCTCTTTATATGATGCTATTCATGGTTTCTCATGTTGTAATGCTCCATCACATGTTTTAATTACACATTTAAATACACAGTGACTTGTTTTCTGTTTAATATTGGTAAGGTCTTCACCTTACTATGTGAAGTGCTTTGAGATGACATATGTTGTGAATTGGCGCTATATAAATAAAACTGAACTGAATTGAATTGGGGCTGCAAGGTGGAGCGGTGGTTAGCATCGTTGCCTCGCAGCTAGAAGGTCGCCAGTTTGCGTCCCGGTTGGGGCACCGGAATCCTTCTGCGTGGAGTTTGCATGTTCTCCCCGTGCAGCGTTGGTTCTCTCCGGGTTCTCCAGCTTCCTCCCACAGTCTAAAAACATGTTGAGGTTAATTGGTGATCCTAAATTGTCCGTAGGTGTGAATGACAGTGTGCTTGGTTGTCTGTCTCTAAGTGTGGCCCTGTGATAGACTGGTGACCTCTCCAGGGTCAGCTGGGATAGGCTCCAGCCCCCCGCGACCCTAGTGAGGATTAAGCGGTGTATAGATAATGGATGGATGAATTGAATTGACTATGAAACTGAAACTTGACTATAAAAAATGATATCGCAAATCAAATCGCAACATCTGTCAGAAAAATTGCAATTAGATATTTACCCCAAATTGTTCAGCCTCACCCAGTCCCAGTTCTAATGAGTGTTATGATCAGACTACTCAAGCAGTGAGAGTGGCTGTGTGTTTAAATGTGTGTTAATTCTCTGTTGTGTTACGCTGTCTATGTGTTCCTGTCTCCTCAGTGCGTGTCTGTTGTGTTTACATGTACACGAACAGCATAAGCTTTCGACCTCTGTCTTTTTCTTTATCCGTTTGTCCACCTTGAATTCAAACAAAATCCTGAATGAGCTGCAGTCAGAACGTTACCATGGTGCTTTTGCATGTGTGTTTTCCAGGTTGCTGCCAACACTCCCAGTATGTATTCTCAGGAACTGTTCCAGCTCTCCCAGTATCTACAGGTAGTGTGCTGACACCTAGTGGTCACATTGTTGAGTTACACTAAGAATGATGAAAAGGGATTTGAAATTTGACCAATTTGATATTCCACAGCAGATTTCTAATATTACAAAAATCCTGACTGCTCTGAACACATGACACGAGCACCACTGCATGTCTGTTTGTGAAAAATGAATTCAAATATTCAGGACAGACTGAGTTATGTAACATTAAACACATCATCTATCATTCATTAAATACAGTACAGATAAGGTAGAGAATAAAATCTATCAGCATTACAGTGCAGAACACACAAACCCAAGAAGATAAGAAAAATAGATGTAAAGATTAGGAGCAGGTCAGAAAATATTCCTGAAGAGAGAATCAGACAATGTTTACTTAGACTTGACTTTGATCCATTTGATTGCTCAATTCAGTAATTCTAGAATCTAATATTAGTTTATAAATGGTTATTAATTAACCCTCTGAAGGCTTCTTACACGTCATTACTCACTAATGTTAATTGCAGTGTAAAGTCCTGCACCTCTGTGGAAAAACACAGCCACGGCTCTAAGTGGAAAAAAGTCAAAAATGTGTCTGTGCAGTGTGACACAGTCATAATGGCATAATCAGTTTAAAATATATATTTTTAAAAACAGCAATATTGAATTTCTTTGAAATAGTCTTTTATAAAAACTGAAAACTTTGGCGTCAACACATGCCTCATTTTCTACTGATGTTTCCAGAACTATAAAGTCATGGTGATGCTACATTTATAAACACAGCCTGCAGTTCAGCCGAAATCGTTCTGAATGTATATTATGGTAATCACAGCTGAATCGGTCATGGCTTCTCAGGAATACAGAGAAAGAGCACAGACTTGGGATTTTTTTTTTTTTTTTTTTACAGAATTTGGAACAAACAGGTTATTTTGGTACATTGCTAAATCAGTCATGTAGAATAAAGTTATTTTGGTGCAGTATCGCATTATTAAGCTTAGATTGGATTGGGTTTTCCAACAGAATGGCACATTACAGATGAGTAGTTTAAAAACTGCTGCAAAGTTAAAAATGTGACATTTCTTTCAGTTTTTACTGTTTCTGCCTGTGACAAATGTCATTTTGGCAAATTTTTTTTTGTGTTTTTTTAAAACAGAAAGGTTAAGGTAGTGTACTAGCAAGTAGCTTGTCTCTTCTCTGTATAAAATTTAAAACCAAAAAAAAACATTTATTGTAAATTACCATGTTGCCTTTGTTCAGCCTGATTTTTTTCTTTCTTTTTTGAGTCACTGATTGCCTTCCTCTCTGTCCTCGTCCCTCTCTCTCCAGGAGGCCTTACACAGAGAGCAGATGTTGGAGCAGAAGTTAGCCACTCTGCAGCGTCTGTTAGCCACCACTCAGGAGGCCTCAGAGAGCAGCTGGCAGGTAGGAAATAGCACTTTCATTCTTCTGCCGTATACTGAAACTACGCATGCATAGGAACAAATGCTATTATACATCTGTATGAGTGTCTCAGTGAAACCCAAATGTTAAAAGGTCTCATGCACACAAAGCGTCAAGACAAAGTTGACTTTCTGATCTCTGCTTTGACAGACATGTTAATGCAGGGCATCATGCTTCTTACTTTTAGGTCATGAGTGTTGTAATTATGATTGTGGTTTAGCTTCGCATGCAAAATATAAAGGGAAGGCACATGTTTTTCAAGGTTTTACTGGTCTTATCGCAGCTGTTTTCACAGTTTTTGGCACTTGTTCTGTTTAGTATCATGTTGCTGTTTGCGTGGTGAAAAGACAGTGTGAATTTTACACTCTATTAAAATTTGCTTTGCCATTTCAGCGTTGTTTTGTTTTATTTCTTTAGTCACACAGGTAGTGCTTATTGATTCAGTTTTGTAAGCTGAGTGTGTGTCTTCACCAGGCTCTGATTGATGAGGACCGGCTGCTCTCCAGACTGGAGGTGATGGGCAGTCAGTTACAGGCTTACTCTAAGGTAATATATGCACACATGAAGACAAAATAGCTAATATTTCTGCAGTAAATGAATGAACATCAAGCTCAAATTTACATCAACTTGCAAAAATTGTCTCGCAGTCCCAGACGGAGGAAGGGATCCGTAAGGAGCTATTGGCTCTTCAGGAGGACAAACACAACTACGAGACAACGGCGAAGGAGTCTTTGAGGAGAGTCCTGCAGGAGAAGATTGAGGTGGTCAGGAAGCTGTCAGAGGTGGAGGTAGGACTCGTGGATACGCTGTATGAAGTATTGTTTCAGGGCATGTGGCTTTTTCTCTGTGAAAACTGTTTTTGTCTTTGCTGTCCTGCAGCGTTCGCTCAGTAACACAGAGGACGAGTGCACCCACCTGAAGGAAATGTCTGAGAGGAGTCAGGAGGAGCTGAGGGAACTCGCCAACAAGTACAACGCTGCCGTCAACGAGATCAAAGAGCTCTCTGACAAAATTAAGGTGCCTGCACAGAAACGCAAAACTTCATGCTGTGATGGTTACTGACACGGGATTTTCATTTTCTGCAACAGTGTTTTGTGTACTCAATATTTTAAATTACCAGATTGTATACAGCTAAAATCTGTTTTATACACTCCATGCAGCTTTTATTATAATAGTTTTTAGCACGAGAATGAGTTTTGTTGCCAATTAGGTTTTCACATACGAGGAATTTGACTGCATTATAGTAAATGTTGACAGTTTGAAAGGCGGATTAAAGCTATGAAAAGAAAGCAAGTGTTGCAAGTCAATAAACAGTGAGCGTTAGAAGGTAAATACACAGCATGTGGAGCGAATCCAAGGAATTTTAAGTAATAAAAAGTAATATTCACAATTGCAGTGTGCAGGAATGTGGAAATAATTTTCTCATGTGTGCAAATTATTTGCTTGAGTATGTGCAAAATTACTCATTTAATATGTGGTGTAAAATTGAAATTATTTTTGCTAGATATTGCTCAGAAAACAAAATTACATAACATGAGAAACGCCGTGCCCAGTAGAGAAGCAATGAGATATAAGTTTGACACATTGCTAGAAATAAAAAAGTAAACTAAAATAAGGCGAGAGTAGAAAAAGTAACACTGAGGTAGTAAAGTAACATCACACGTGATAAAGAAATACTGCACCTGGAAAGTGTTATTTTGCACTTTACATTGACATGTTTGACCTGCCACAATTTCATGTTTATTAAAATGCTCTACTGTGTTTCCCTTTTCCTGGTTTGCTTGCTTCCCTGTTCTTTCCTTCCTCTGTGGCTCTCCCCTCCTCGTCCAGGCGGCGGAGGGTCGGCAGGAGGAGCTGACTCAGCGGGGGGCGACAGAAAAGAGGGAGTTGGAGCTGCGGATCGAGGAGATGGAGGAGAAGGAGCAGGTACTCCAGGCTCGCATCGAGGCTCTGCAGGCCGACAACGACTTCACCAACGAGAGACTTGCTGCTCTGCAGGGTAAAGACACACACAGCTTCCATCACTTCACGGGTTATTACATTAACTCACATTAATCTCACAAACACTTACCCCAACTCATCATAACCATCACTGGCCTTAACCGAACTCACACCTTAACCTTAACCCTCTGGGATCTGAGACATTTATGTGCATTTAACTGGGTCCTCGACTCTCTTAACCCTGTGAACCCCAAAACCTACACTGTTGTCTTCATAGATTTGCCAAAATGACACCATGCCATGGTTGTGCTGTTTCTACAGAGGTGCACAACTTTATATATGAGTAAAAACACTGCAGGAGCAAAAAGCATCCCGACACTACTTGGTGTTCAGAGGGTTCAAATAAAAACCTTCACATTTGAAGCCCAGGGCCTCAGGTGAAAAAAATTGAATAAAAACTACATTGAACATTTCTATCACTGTCTGTTTGATAGTTCACCACCTAATAACACAGCTGGTTACTGGAGAGAAGAGCAACGACGTGTCTGGACAGCTAATGTGACCTCAGAGGGTTAAACCAAGTCTTTTTTCAAAAACACAAGACTTTACATTCGGGAGCTTTTTGCCCCCAAAAACAAAAAACAGAATTAGGTCTCCACAACACGACAAATGCAACCACACACGCGCACACATGAAGTCCTGTTCTAACTTTTAACAAGCTAACTTACCTCACCCTGCAAACCAATCACCTTAACTGCCCAGTCAACACAAACCAGGGGCTGGATCAGAACACATCTTGGTCAGACTCGGCTGGGACTTCTGTCAGTCAACGCTTCTCTCTTGCTGTTGTTGTTGTTGTCGTTGTTTGCAGTGCGGTTAGAACAGCTACAAGAGAAAAGCATTAAAGAGAACAACAGTCTGGGTGAGTCCACATGTCTCTGGTCTGCTCTGGGACTCACGTCCTCTCCGCCGCCGTTTGTCTCTCTGTGGCCGCCAATCTCACTTCCTCATCCTGCACTAATGCTGCATGACGACCTCCTGCATGATGTCCGTGTCAATGTCCTGCTGCTCACTGCTCTCTCTGTTCATCTGTCTGTCTGTCGTGGTGGAAATATGGCTGTTCATCTTCTGTTTCCGTCTGGTAGCTTCACTTCGTTTCGACAAGATGTTTTTCTGAATGCAAAAAGCACAAGATTGAACAGTTACTCAGTACATTTCTGTCATAAGAGAATCAAGTGTCACTTTTTTCTGATTTACGTTGAGGCTTTGAGTCCACCTAAAAAGACGTTTTGAAATATCGTAGATGCAAACTACTCAACAAATTTCAGTTATCTACATGCAAGAATTAGTTTTGTTGCAGGTTTTAGTTCAATAAAATACTAAAAGTGGAGACGGAAAATATCAAAATCACATAAACAAATACTTGGGGTGCTCTGATTGGCCAATATTTGTTACGAAGAGCTTGATTGGTGGTCACGTCCAAAGTCTTTGACCGGGTTTCTGTGAAAGACCCAACAATGACTTTTTTTATTGGTGTTTCAACAAGGTCCGTCAATGAAAACCTTGAACCTCATCGGTCGCTTACGGGAACACGTTGAATTCACAAAGCTAGCTACCATTAAAGCAGAGAGAGAGTGAGATTGTTGAGCGGCTCACTCAGCTCTCTGTGTTTTTTGTTTCATATTTCTTGCTGTGCACCTTATTTCCAGTTTTGCGTTGTCTCCTAAAAAGGCACAAAAAAACGGAGGGCTGACTGAGTTGAAACAATATTTTGGCTGTAGCCTCTTTTTATTGCAGTTTTTATAGTTTACAGTTTGAGTAAATTGATAAAGCCTCTGTGCTTTGTTCTGTCTATGGTGCCTCAGTAAAATATATTCTATATTTATTCTAATTTACACAATTGTAGGATTTTATGCTGCTGAATGGCTGCATTTGATAATCTCTAAACTGTTCCCAGTAACCAAATGAAGGCTGCTGTGGTTTAAGGCAGAGGGAATATGGTACACATGTTGGTCGTTTCCCATCTCCAAGTTGTATAGTTAATATAAATCCTTATTAAGAATAGTATAATTAATACTCCTACACGATAAAGGCATTGACCCTGTGATTGGTGATCAGTATTAGTAGACACTGCTTTCAGGGATCAGCCCCCAAATCCCTAATCAGAGCACCCTTAGCAAAAGCATAATGAAGCTCTTCTAAAGCTGCCTTTCTAGGCCAGGCTGTGTTAAATGATCAGTGTTAGAAGTGTACAAAGATACCAGAAATCTTAATCTGAGGCCTGGCACATTTATAACATTGCCTGATCGCAAATATTTGAGCTCACCACGATCATTTCATGTCGTCATTCTCGTTCACCTGTATAAAACTAGCAGGACGACACCAAGACAAATGTCAGGTTTTAGCTTCCACATAGATTTCCTGCCTTTGTGTCTTTACCTCTCGTTTAATTATAACTTAACTTGTTTAACTTGCCATTGACAAACTGCATTTTGATGAGCATCTATTAACATGAACATCATGGATTTAGTTGAAAAATCAAACACTGCAGCACCGTTGTGGGCACATTTTGGTTTTCAGCCAAATAAAAAGGAGAGTCCAGTAACTTAGAGGAGCCGATTTGTTGGATTTGCAGCCAAAGTGTGGCCACTAGTCTGAAACTGAGACGTATAATGAACAGAAAAAGACAATTAAATAGTTAATTGCCATTATTTGTACGATAATTACTGCAAAAAATGTCATGGTTGTGACAGACCTAATTGGTGCAGAGCTGAAATCTGTGATTCCACTAAACTGTTTGTAGTGTTTGAATGTCCAGAAGAACACGGGACGGGGTGACATTTAGTCTCTGGGTGATCTTGATAAACTGCAGAATAATTTCAAATGTATAGTAATTCAGCATGTTATAAAATTACACTGAAATTAATCATTAAAATTAACTGTTCTTCATTATGTGCAATGGCCCGCATAATGCAGGTGTTTACTTCATTTGTCAACACACCTGTGTTTACAGTAAGAGAAGTTATTTATACATCAGGTTTTAAAGCAGCACAGGTTGACCAAAGTCATGTACATTTTATAGGACGGCAAAAGTAAAAGTATATATAAAAAAGTAAAAAGTGTCCTCCAACATTGTATCCCGTTCTCATTCCAGCTGGAATGAGGTGACAACACTGAGAACGTTCCTTGGGCTTGTGTAAGAGTTAAAGTCACTCTACAGCTCAGGACACAAAACTGAAATGACGTTTAGATGTTTTTAGTTTTCTTTGACCTCATGTCTCAAAAAGTCTAGAGAGAAATTTCACAATTTCAATGTTCAGGAAAAAAATGTTTAAAGTCCATGTAAAGCAGGAAAAGTCAGAGTTTGTCACACGACAGAAAACCGTCATTAACGAATGATTAAAAAGAAATGTCAAGTATAAAAGTATGCTTCAGATTGATTGACTGCTTTCACAGCAGCTGAGATCAACTGTACGAACTGTGCAAATGGAGTTTGTTTTAACAAACAACATGATTACATGAAATCACAAACTGTAAATACAGATTATGTTTGTCCCTTTGCAGCTGTGGACCAAGTTACCTGCTATATTAAACTGAGCACACAAGGCAACTTACACTCATCGGTGTACACATGCTGCCAATGAGGGCACCAGATGTTGGAGGGGCAAAAACAGTAAAACTAGCTGGTGTAAAATGGTCATCTAGATGAGGAGACTGAACTGCTCTGCAAATTCTAGCATCCATTGAAAATGCGTGTGCATAGCTAGTTACCAAACTGTGGACTGCAGTAGGTGTAGGAACCAGGGATTGAGCAAGACAACCGCTGTAGTAGGATGTGGCTCCTGTGCATCACAATTTGTTCAAAAAATCCAGTCTAGTGGTTTAACTCCACATGCCAGTCCCATGCAGTTCAGTCCTTACACAATTGTTTTCTGTCATGTACAATCAAAACAAATCTCTGAATAATCTTTACACGGACTTTACAGCAGTTCCTTTTATAGTGTTTGTGTATGCAAAAAGCCTTTTTGAGCCACAGTGTGTTATGTGACATGCAGTTTCAACCAGTTACCAAACCGAAGCTGCCTGGATCAATGCCAGGCTGTGCTCTGGGTGTGTTGGTTTCAGAGGCAGCTTGTCTTGAGGTGACGGTCTGTCGGGTCTGAACGGGGCTTGTTTGATAGTCTGGGTTCTTTCCACGGTTTCCAAGCTGTCCACTGCTTTGTGTTTCTTCTTCTGGGGGAAAGAAGCTTGTGGTCACTGATTGACTTCTGGTGATTAAATGACGACACTGAATGCTGCAGGTGACTGTCTCACTGCACACCTCTCCACCGTAGCCACTATGTGAAGGAACCTGCCGTCATTTAGACTCTGTTCTGAACATATGTCTGGCTGCCTGGTAAAGTTTGGACAAAATCGTATATATCTGATCTGGTCACATGACAGATGTCAACATTGTCCCCCACGGACCAGTAGAGGAGCCTGTCGAGGACAAACAGAGCCTGCAGACACCTGAGAGCCAGGAGGAAGACGAGGATGAGGAGGATACAGACACCGATGATGGTGCAGTTGGTGAAGAGGAAGATATTGATGGTAGTTAGTTTGATTCCTACCAGATTGTTACTCTTAATTCCTATACAGCCCTGTTCTCTATCAGCTCTGTGCACAGCCTGCAGTGCACCCGAGACGCTCCAGACTGTCTGTTAGTCACAACTGAGTCACTCATGCTTTTGCAGTTGTGCCGAGAAACGCGGAAGTTTTAGTTTATTACTGAATCTGGTCCACGGTTTATTATTGGCAAATTGTTAAATGAGACAAGTAGAATAAAGTGATTGTGATAAAATATCCAGATTTTACGATTAACCCAGTTCGAATGGCACGCTAGAGATGACAAGTTTATGCACTGAATTTCACATTTTTGGCAATTCTCTTTTGATACAGTTCCTGCTTCTGATACGTTGTGTAGTAAAGATGTCTTTTGTGCTGTATAACATGGTTATAATTCCTCTACAAACTAGTCATTTACACAAAACTATGCACATCCACTCTACAAAGACATTTCACTGTGCTGAATGTACCTTCAAACAACTTTCTATTTTATTGATTAACTATGTTGTACTTTCCTTTCAATCTCTCTTCTCATCACTTCTCTTGGTAAACACAACCTGCAGTTTAACCAGAAAGTCTCAAAAGTTTTGTTACGTGACAGTCCTGACTTTTCAGTTGGTCTTAGGCCTACAGAATGTTTTATTTTCTACAACTTTATTTTGGGCCAATTTGTTTTACACACAGGATTAAATCATTTTGCTCAAACATCATATTATTAAGCTTCGATCAGGACTGCCGGAAAGTTAAAATGCCAAAGATTCTTTCAGTTTTCAGTTTCTGGCTCTAATGAATGTTGGCATTTTAAAGCAAATATTTAACATAGATGGAAACCATTGCTTCCTATCCCACCCGGGGGGGGTTTGGGTTCAGAGGGTTAACAGGCTTTACTTTACAAAAGACAAAAAACATTCCTATTAAAATACATTACAGTTAAGAAATAATCTGAGCTAGATACATTTAAAACTAAATTATTATGGTGTGAAATAATACATCCAGTAACATAGTATAAAACTGCAACCTGTAAAATAAGATGATATAAAAGAAAATATTTACCTTTGTTTTTCCAATCATACGTTTATGTGACTTGAGCTTTTCTTTACAGAAATGTTTTACTACGTTAACTTTAATATTTCTTTAATCTTAGGATGTTATCATCTGATTTAAGTTTGCACTTTTCAGCGTCTGTTTTTGTGCACATTAGGCAACAAAATTCATATGAGGGTTCAGTGTCATGCTTAGGAAACAACCTACTGAGAGTCATCCTACTTTATTAATTTTATGCACTTGTCAAAAGTTTTTTTTACTCTAAGTTCTCTATTCTTGGTGTGCTGTGGTGGGTTCAGGCTGTGTTTGATTTGAACATCCTTCTCATTTTCTCCATAGACAGTGTTAGGTGACTGTTGCAGATTTCATTCTTCATTTCTTCTTTAGTTTGGTCGTCACATTTGAGCAACTCTTTACTTATGTGGTGGGATTTTTTGAGAAAGTTGCAGTGTGCAGCTGAGTTTAAACTATTGGCCTGGTTAAGTAAGCATTTTCAGGGTTCGATGTTGAAGTGTAAAGCTGTCAGACTTGGGAGACTTACTGTCTGTCTTCTGTTTGCCTGTCCACATCCTGTCTGATGTTAGCGTCTCTGTTTAGCTCTAATCTTCTATGTCTGAAAACGCCAGAGATGTATGGCTTCGAGTTCTGCTATGTCTGTTTATCGAGCTTCTATCTGTCCTTGTAGTTCTCGTATCTCGCTGTGATTCGTTCGTTCGATCATGCTTCCTCCCTGCTTGTGTCTGTCTGTCCTTTTCTCTGTCATGATTTCCGTCTTCGGCTCTTCTCGTCTCCTTTAATGCACAGTTTGGTATTAGGAGCTGATTCTGAATCGGGTCCTGTTTCAAATGTAGAGGAACCGAGTGCTCATAAAGAAAGATGTTTTTTATTCTGCTTGTCTAATCCAGAAAGTCAAATTTTACCTTCTGCTCATCAGTGTACATTGACTTTGTTACACATTCATCACATGGTGTGTTTAAGGTCATAATAACAGACCACAGTGAGTCTTTGTGAGCAGAAGAAATAACATTGAGCTTATGAAACAAATCAAATCTAGACTTTTTTTTTCACCAAAAATACTCCTAAAAATTGCAATTGGAACCTCCCACCTGTTTGTTTTTTTGTCAAACACACGGCCACAACCCGGTCCATTCTGGCATAGATGAGCAGAATCAATCAAATCTGAGATGAATACCCGACTCCAGTCTGATAGTCGCCATAGTAATGTCAGTTCTCTGTGTTTCTATCAGACAACTGTCATGTTAACAACAGCGGAGGAGACTCGACTAGAATCCAACAGTTGATTGAGTGTCCGCGTGAGTACAAACATCCATTCCAGCTGTATACAGAAACACACACTTTCCATGTTAACTTCACAGCTGTGGAGGCCCATCGATGCCAAGAACAGACAGACCAGAAAAGTAAGATTGGTAAAAAATATAAGAAAAATCATGGTACATTGAAATTGTAATGAGATCATTTTGGCAGTCAAACAATGAGATCATAGTTTCTGTCAAATATGAGAAATAAGTTTTTAAAAAAATGTAATTGTCTGTAATCAAAATTCTGATTTAATGTCCAATTAAAACATCAGAATTTTGTCCTATGAATTTAAATCATTATAATCTCTCTTACCATGATTATTTTTAATTTTTATTCATTCTTAACATGCTGAACAGATTTTTTATTTCTATTTTTTTAATCTTTACTGAAATTTCCTGCTGTACTTCAACAAAGCCTTTGCTCCAGAGGAACCTTCCTTAACCTGTAAACTACGATACACTCCTTTGATGCTATTTATTTATTTATTTATTTATTTATTTTCATGGGAAGGTCAAACCCAGCAAGATGGATCAATGAAAATTATTTTGATGACTGATTGGGTTCCAAAATATGTCATTTTCTCAATATTTCACGTAAATGCACATTTTATCGCGGTCGCCTGTCAATGGCATTATTTCCCCTTTACCTTTACCTGCTGTAAACAGGACAGAGAGGCACGCAGGAAGGAATACGTAGGTGAACAGGCTAGCTAACGCTGCAGCTTTTGAAAGTTCTTTTCTCTATATTAATCATTCGTGATGGCACAGTTATGTTGATATGATTGATTTGACGGTGGATGTCAGCGCTGGTCTACCTGTTTATTGAGTTCAGCAGAGAATAGCTTCAGTAGCTGTATGGGTTCATCGACCCATCGCATAGTATGTTCGCAATTAACATTAGCTAACCTTAGCTGGGACTCCTTCCTTAGACTGAAATGACATAGCATGAATATACTGAAGATGTTTCAAAGTTTCTTTGGTCGTGATCTGAGCAGCACCAGGTTGGGTCACCAGGTGAAGCCTCTTTCTGCTCATTACTTTAGCGACTAGAGGAGGCGGTCACTTCTGTGTTAGCAAGCAGAGAGCATTGAGGGAGTTTGGCTAGTAAAGGTGCATCATAATAGAGACTCGTATGAGGTTTATGGACCTCAGGCCAGTAAACATGTTATAGTTAGAGGGGGGAAAGGATAATTACGCATGTCTTAGAAAACCAGCTAATTAATGCAGATGTAAGCAAAGAACTGAGCAAAGTTCAGAGGCAGAAATGATTTACTGTGATTTAATGTCGTTGGTGATGTTTTTGTTGGTGTACCAGATGTAGTCCAGGTAAGGTGTAACCTGCTTAGTGTGTCCGGGTAGACAACAAAATAGATTTATTTATTTACTTGTTGTAACAGTGTAGGTAGCTAAGAGATAACACCAACCCAACATATTTTGTTTGTGGTGTGCAAAGTGTTGAAAGATACATTTGAAAGTCAGAAGAGCAGCAGAATAATTCACAGATTTCATTGTTTACGGTTTGCATCTGAAGCCTGTGGTTTATTGTGAGGAACCTGTTGAACACTGTGTATACAAAGACATTGCTGTAGAACTCTAGACTTTTTTCTTTTGATGCAGTTCTTCTGGTGTCCACTGGCGTCCTGCTGGAAATGTTTGCTGCTCAGTCACATGAGCTCGTTGAACGTCTTGTCTTAGAGAACTGGAGTTTTCTGGTGCTTTGTCGTACGTTTTCTGTAGGTGGTCATGATCCTCTTAAACATCACTCACACTCCTGCCTTCTCCTTTTTAAACAGATCTTTACATATTTTCTTCTGCATGCTGCCACTGCAGCTTTCCTCCAGATTCATCCACTGATCTTCTTGTTTATTTGCTTTCTTGGTTGGCTCTTTTTCTCTGGTCACCTCACAATGAAACAATTTTTTACTCAAGCAAATAAAACACTAACCACGTTACCACTCACACCTGAAACAGTTGAAGTAGCTGGTCTGTAGCCCCCTTCAGACACACACTCCTTTCTGTTCCTCTGATGGCATCTGAACCTGTTGGCTTCGTGTCTGAATTCACACCCTGCTCACTTTAAAAAAAAAAAAAAAAAAAAGTAGGCACAAGTCTGAACCAGGTGCTTTAATGATTAGGATAAGATAAGACCTCATACAGAGGGAAATTTTTGCAGTGTTCAGTGAATAGTGCAAAAAAAGGAACATCAAAAAGGATATTGTCGAGATTCTTCCATTTGTAGAAGTTCAGAAATTGCATAGATTCATTTGAACGTGGAAAATAACAACACGAGGGTTTTCTGTATGAAATTATGTATTAAGTTATGTGTATATATTATATATTAGCAAGGCCACGCTCTGTGTAGAGTCAGTACAACTCATCCATGCACACAATAATTATGCTACTACTGCAAGTGCTCTGTTGAGAAGCTGAAAAGTCTCTGATAGAAACACTTGAAATAATCCAATAATAATCAGGCTTTAGTAAACGGATCAGATTTTTACAGTAAAATAGCATCCTGACAGCTGTGATGCAGCTCAGGACTCAACCTAAGGATGGTGTTACTGTGTGTGGCAACTCACCTGTCTGAAGTGAAGAAGTGTGACTCGCTGCTAGACCCTGACTGATCCTGTCCTCCCTGTGTAGCCTCTTTAAATCCTGAGGCTCTGTCCCACCTTTGCTGTGTGGCAAATATTGTTCCGTGGCTCCCTCTGGAGATTGTAGTGGGTCCGTCTTTATGAGGCTGTGAGGAGCTTTAACGTAAGAATGCCGTCACTTTGACAGACTGATGAAGCAGCAATGCTACATTTCCCCTGCCTTAAAAAAGGGGTTTATGAACACCTGTCTTGACTGCATGCATTTCAGAGAATCAGCTTAACTTTTAATGCCACCCTGCCTTGTTTGTTGACCACAATAATATTTGCCATCAGCTGTTTGTTATATTCACTTTTTGTGGCACATAGCATACATAACACTTGAGATGGGACAGGACTATTTTAATAAGATCAGTTTAAATCAATTCAGCTGAGGCTTGGTGGTTTATAAGTTTCCCTCAAGTATATTGTGGAAGAAGCCAATTCCATCTTGGCCCAGTAAGTGTGACTGAGCAGGTGTCTTAACTGAAAGTTACAAGATCCAGCTTACACGTGTCCTCTTTCAGTGACATTTCAACAGCTTCATTTCAGCAGGTTTTACAGTTTATTGTTGACTTCTTTCTTTTTGTATAAACGTGCCAAAAAAAAAAAAGAGGTTCTTTTTACGTGTCCGATGTGGATAAGCTGTGGGATGCTGCTGGAGTGGTGACAGCTCATTTATTCCAAGCTATGACCTGAGTCAGTCTGTCTTGTACATGCTTTTATCATTTTTTGATGCTCCTGTCTGATAAATAACTGCACCACAAACAGCTCAGTACCTGCTATCAGTCCTTGAAAACAAGATTAACAAGACAACTGCCTGTTTTTTCAGGCAAAGAGCTCAAAAAAGTAACTTCTCACAGATTCTTTTAAGATTCAGTAGAGGTAGAACAACTAACCACCTAGTATTTTGATAATTGTTTAACCAGTTTGAGATTTTTTATTTTTATTTTTTATTTTTAGAAAAGAAGTAAAAATCCTTAGATTCTTCTATGCTACCTAACTGTGAATACTTTCTGGTTTCTTTTCCTCCTCTGACAATGAACTGAATATTTTGTGTTGTGGACAAAGCAAGACATTTGAGGGCATCATCTTGGTGCTTTGGGAAACACTAATCGCCATTATTTCTGACATCTTATAGACTAAACAACAAATCCATTATTCAAGAAAATAATCAACAACGGAAATGGAAACTCTTCTAACTCTCTGGAACCCAGATGAAAGTTTATTTCACTGACATTTCTACCACTGCTAACCAGCTACTACTCCGGCTGATGAGTTAGTCTAAATCTGATGACGATGTCTGATGTGTTTCTGCTAACAGGTTGTTAAACTGGACCGCTGGACATTTGCAGAGTTTTGGAAAGATAATAAAGGACTGATTCAAGTCCAACTTCTGTATTTTCTAAATAATTTATGACTTTATTCACTCATTCCCCAATTTTCTGTTTTCTCTCTGCAGCTGTCAAACAGCTGAAGGAGACTGTGAGTTCTTCGATCCACAAACTGGCCAACTTTGATGGTAAGAGCTTAACCAAGCTTGAAGTTCAGTCTGTGAACTCACTAGAAACCAAGGAGAAAACAAACTGAAGACTTTGAAAAGGGGAAGATAAAAAGCTGAAATCTGAAGAATAGTGGAGGCTCTAATGTTTGTATGTACCTTTGTGTTTGTAGAAGTGATGGATGCTCACTTACAGAACAACCAGACAGCAGAAGACGACATCCTGGCCAGCCCTGATCGACTCAAAGGTAAAGGACGCACACACACACACACACACACATACACACAGACTGTTACTTAAGTAGGATATTGATTTGATATTTGATATTTGACACATTTGTCCAATCTTTCATACTCACGGCACACACTATAATTTCAGTGATAGGAGCTTTACACTCGCTATGTCCCGACTGCTAATGCAGATGAATTATAATTGACTGGAACCATGTTTTGAGTATGTGATGTGTTTTCAGTGCAACTCTGACAAGCTGAAGTATGCCAACATTGTTAGATTTCAAAACAGCAAAACATCCAGTGAGAAACTCTGCCCTCAAGTGGTGAACCTTTTACAGAGAAGATATACTTTTAGGCTTTTTCTTTTCCCTTCATTGTGCTGTAGGTCAGCAAACTTACACAAAGTCCACACGAAAGCAGCTGACAGCTCTCAGAGGGTTACACAGCTAGCATATACACACAGAATACAGAGTTATGGTACACACATTAACATCATCAGAGCAGACTTGGTTTTTCAGGTGGGAAGCCTTAAAGAGACAGGAGCTGAAACAGCGTTTCACAGAGACTGATGCGGCTGCAGTGTTCAACATGAGAAATGTGTTTTGAACATTAAAGCATGTAAACATACTGAAGTAGACCCACAAAATTAAATTATAAATCTGTAAGTGAGCATAATATCATCCCTTAAGTGTCGTCTACATCATTTTTGTATAAAATAACCATCAGAAACTATAAGTTATATTTTGTATTTATTTCCTTAGAAGGTCTGTTTGTTTCTCAGCTTTAAAAAGCCTTTTGTTGTTTTCAGTTGACTAAGGGTCGTTGCATTGACTTGCTCTCTGTGAAGTAATGGTCATGAAGGGTAAAGCTGCTGAGAAGGTGAAATCGCCCACCAGTGACCTCTGACCTCTGTCTGTGCTGATGTGAGGGGTCCGGCTGTGGACTCACAATGCTCAGACATACCAGCAAGCATATGTGTCAGCTATGACTAAAACCCATTTTGATTTTCTCTACACAGAGTTACATCTCCATATAATAAATCAGAAATGTATTTCTATTCTGGGGCTAAACCATAACCATCTCACCTACATGTCCAACCCCTACCCTCAACTGATCATAAGGCAAACCCAAACCTCAGCTTAGTACCAAATCTAAAGCTTCAAACAGCTGATAGATATACAATAACACACAGTAACAGAGTGAAAACTGCTTCAAAACAAAAACTAAACACTGCTACAAACTGCCACTGTGTAGTTTCACCACTTGAATCCTGCTGCGCCTCATTCACTATGAAAACTTCAGACTATTTACGTGTGTGTGTCTGTGTCTGTTTGTTTGTGTGTGTTTGTTTGTGTGTGTCTGGGTGTGTCTGTGTGTCCGTCCACAGGGAATCAGATGGACGCCAAAGAGTCGGACATGTCAGACACTCTGAGTCCCAGCAAAGACCGCAGCAGTGACGACACGTCAGGTCAGTAAAACACAGAGTTGTGTTTGTGGAACCAGAGTTTTTCGTGTTGATTCGTTTACCTCTGATCTATGTGACTTCACTGGTTTGGTTTGAAAGGTTGTTCAATCGTGTTAAAATCGTGAAAGCTCATTGTTCTGTATCTGTTCTGTAATGACTTATTCATACAACATGTTGTAAATAGTCTGTTGGGAACTAAATAACATTTACAATGATTATCTAATGTTGTAAAACTTTAAATATGTACATTTTTGCATCCGTTATTGTGTCCAACTACTGTATTTATCATATTAATATTTCTATTTTTGTATGTGACATTATTATTTTTTAAATCTTTCATTAGTGATTTTTAAGTAAATGTGTGTAAATGTGCATGTGTGTGCGTACACGTGTGTTTTCAGATGGCAACATGGACGACCAGGAGCTGAATGAACCACAGAACAGAGTAGCGCTGCTCAAAGGTAACCATGACTACTCCTCTCTGCTTTGTGCTGCTCTAACTGACTATAAACACTGAAACTGAGGTTATAAGCCAGAGGTATTTGTAATACAGTTAACTGTCCATTAGGGAGAGCTGCGCAGTTATACTGCTCTCAGCAGGTCTTTGTCCCGGCTTGCATAATTGGTAGATTATGACCGGATGATCACATGTGTTTAAAAACTTTTTTTTTGTGTGTGTGTGTGTGTGTGACAGATATTAAATTACTCTTTGTGTATGTGTTTGTGTAGCTGAGCTGCATCGGGCCGGTCTAGAGCCCGGAGACACAGAGCAGGTCATCCACCATCTCCACAGAGAGCTTCTGGAGGCCCAGGAATTAGCCAACACTGGCAAGCAGAAATGTCTGGAGCTACAAGGTAATTAAGTGATACGCCCACTGTAACTACCACACAGGGGAGTTGAGACTAAATAACAGCTCCACTTAAAGAGTTATTATCATATCTAAGACTGGGTTTGATGTGAGCACTAGACATGTCCTGAGCCTGATCATAAGACCAGAATTAGGTCTGATCACTGCAATTTTAATTAATTGGTTTTGGCAGGAAACTAAACCTTTTTCTTTGTTTACATTAATTGTCACATGGATATGTTAAACAAGCTGTAAAAGCAACTGTTTCATATGCTACCAAGATAAAAGTAAGCTTTCCTAGGCAGACAGACAGACAGACAGTTTATCAATCCTTGTCATTTGTTATGGCAGCTAGAGTCACAGGCAAAACTCACATCTAACACCAAACATAGAACACGTCCAGCACACAGCTATTCACAGACGTACTAAAACGTGCTGAATGCTTAAGGTGAGGTCATAAGAATATTTGCAATATGTGAGGTGCAAATTATACTGTGTAGAAACTGTGGTGTGCAAAAAATTAGAAAATCTATAATGTTAAAAAAAACTACAAAACTACTTGCATATCTAAAATTTAAATATAATATAAAACATAAGCAAATGCAGTTATTTCAGTATATATGTACATATGTATAGACATTAAAGTGACATAACTGATCAGTGATATTTCTGTCTGTAGCTCTGCTGGAGGAGGAGAGGAAGAGTAACTCCAAGCTGACTGAGGAGTCGACCAAACAGATCCAATACCTACAGAGTTAGTACAAACACACACACATCAGAGCACTACAGACTTGTATGTGTCATCATCTAATGTGCTCCCACCTCACTTTGTTTGTTTGTGTTTAGCTCAGCTTGGGAAGCTGCAGGCTGACATGGAGGCACTGAGGGAGCAGAGGGAGAGCACCATCTGCACCACAAGAGAGGAGCTCTACTCCGCCCAGGAGGAGGTATAACTTCACTGACAACTCCAGATCACCAGGGGCCTTTGGTTCCACCATCTGATGTATTTCAAACTAAAAGAATCTAAGAATTTAAAATGGTATCTGTAAAAATTTTAGGTCCATCTGTATTTTGTGGTATAAAATGTTCAGGGAAATCAGAGATAGTTAAGGAAAAATTGTTATAAAAATCGGATGATTGAAGATAGCGTGACCCTGACTCAGTCTGAATCCTCCACAGCTCCCCTTTAGCTTTTCCAGACACCATTTATGCCACCTGCTCCACAGTCTTCTTAAAACTCTCAAACTTGGACCTTTCCCCATCTTGTAAATTCTGTTCACATGACAAACCTATCGACCTGTGAATTGTGTTTCTGCTGTCAGATTCTTGTCCTGCGGCACGCCATGGAGGCGGCCACGGCGGAGCGTGAGCGGGAGATCGCCGCCCTGCAGGCAGACCTGGGCGGTGTACGCTCTGAGCTGGAGCACTGGAGGAACACGGCTGCCAAGTACGAGGAAGAGATCAGCCGACTGCAGGAGGCCTTCACACAGCAGCAACAGCAGCAGAACACTGCCAGCCAGCTGCAGGGTGAGCGCAGTACGTGGGAGGCTGTCTCTGAACACAACTCTGCTGGAAATGATCGTTTGGTTTGTTAGATACTAATTATAACACCACTTTATGTGTTCTTGTCTCTCCTAGTGGAGTGTGTTACGTTGCAGCAGCGGTGTGTGTGTTTGCAGCAGGACTGTGACGGCCTGAGAGCTGAACGGAAAACTCTCACAGACAAACTGCACCGCCTGGAGGCTGAGCTGAGCAGGTGATGACTTATTTGAGTTCATCAAGTATAAGTCATTATTTAAAGATGTTATTTGCTTTCACTGACACGCTTTGGTCAAGAAAAAAAACACATGCACCATACATAAAGTAATGGTTCACTTTTACAACTAAGATCAACTATCACTAACCTAGATTTATATCCTAGCTTAGTAACATTTAAGCCAGCAACTGATTTTTCATTTTTTTATCAGAAAAGATAAGATAAGCATTTACTAATCCCACAGTGGGGAAATTTGCAGTGTTACAACAGAAAATGAGGAAAAATGAAGAGACATCAATTAAAAAATACAAATAAACAAGAAAATATACATAAATGCTATTCATATTGTACAGATTCTTCCATTTGGAGAAATTCAAATATTGCTCAGGATTGTTCTGTATGATTGAAAATACTGATATGGTGGGATGTTGCAATAGCTCACCTGGTTGAGCTGGCGTCCCATGTACAGAGACTATAGTCACTTCTTCACTATATACTGTCTAATAAAGGCATGAAAGGCCAAAAAATAACTTTAAAAAACAAAGAAGAAAATACTGATATGTTGTGATAAGATGATGTTCTCCATCAGTGCATGTTCATCGGGGCTGAGAGCTCAGCAGGATTTTATCTCAGCTTCAGCTACTTTTTCATTAGATTCCAATAAACTGTAGGCGCCACTGCCAAAACCTTTACTACATGAAGAAACAGTGGGCTTTAAAACCACAGAATTTTGATATTTGTTCATATGAAAATGGACTTGACGGGTTTGTGAATCGGTGACTTGCCGGCGTGTGTAAGTGGTTACTGAATGTATCTTTGTGTGACGTTTGTGCAGCACCAGGGAGCAGAGTCTGGTCCTCAGCAGCAGTCTGGAGTCTCTGGAGAAGAGGGAGGAGGTTTTGCAGGACAAACTGGGTTCACTGGAGAATCAACACCTGCAGGATGCAAGTAGACTGAAGAGCCAGTTGGACCAGGCCCAGGCCCGCACACACACACTGCAGAGAGAGGTGCGTCTATTTGTACTTCTGTCTTTGTGTGGACAGCCTCTTACTGGAACAGAATAATCCCAACTATATGCCTAATGCCAGTCTTTCAAACAGCCGTTTTGACCTCTGAACCTCCAGCAGTTTCTGGGTGTTTATTTGCTCCTGTCACATTTTTACTCACTGCTATATAAAGTCCTGTACCAAGTGTGTCTTCTATGCAGTATGACACAGTTAACATGCCATAAATCATAAAAGAAAGGACAAATGTTGAATTCTGTTTTTGTTTTACAAAAATGTAAATAACTGGAATCAACATGTACAACATTTGTCCAAGTGCCCACAGGCGTTCCAAAAACTGGAAACACATGAGGGCTCCAAATACGATAGATAAGCTGTTTGTCCTGGTCGGTTTGCATGTTTACAACCTCTACAAGTTGACAGTTTTCATTCTACTTTGCATATCAACTCTAGAAAAATGTTTCACCACGCTGAATGTTTCTTCCAACAACTGGCTCCTCTGAATACCATTTTGGAACCATGCAGCATTTATTTTATTGATCAAGTGGGATTTATTTTCTTATCCAATCTCTTTTCATCTCTGTTTGAACCCAGCCTGAAGTTCAGCTGCAAAGAGAATTTGTCATGTGACTGATGGCCGCAGCTGAGACATACAAGGCTTCTCAATGGTGCTAATTGAGAAGCCATGTCTAATATTGAATTAGACATCTAGAATAAGCTGGTTTTGATGAAACATCACAGTTGTTTTTTTTTGTGGGTGGCTGTGGCTCAGGTGGTAGAGCGGGTTGTCCTCTAATCGCAAGGTTGGCGGTTTGATCCCCCACCCCTCCACAGTCGAAGTGTCCTTGGGCAAGACACTGAACCCGAAATTGCTCCCAATGGCAGGCAGCACCTTGCATGGCAGCTCTGTCACCATTGGTGTATGAATGTGTGTGTGAATGGGTGAATGAGAAACATTGTAAAGCGCTTTGAGTGCCGCAAAGGTAGAAAAGCGCTATATAAGTGCAGACCATTTACCATTTACCATTTTAAGCTTTTTGAGCTGGCAGGTTTGTCAGGTTCAGAGGGTTAAAAGTGTGTCACAGAGTCAGGACCGGCTGGAGTGTTTTTACTCTTGAGGTCTAAAATTGCCACTGCTCAGACCCTGCAATGAGATGTATTCCCCATAAAGGTTGTCGTGTCAATTCTAAGCGCAAATTGATTACCTCAGTTTGTAGAAATGACGGGATTGTGGTGTTTGTGTGTGTGTCCAGTATGAAGATACACAGTCCCAGCTGCTTGACCTTCGTCAGCGCTATGAGAGAACAGAGCAGGAGAAGCTGAACATCCACCAGGAGTTGGAGCAGTGCAGGAGCAACCTGAAGCTGCTGCAGGACAAGGCCAGCTCTGTGAGTTCACACATACACACACATTTCCTTTTAATAACACCAAAGACTATATGGATGATTTGTGACCTTCGTTTCTCTGTTAGTACAGCTTTAAACTCAGATGTTTTTCCCCACAGTTTCTTTTGATGAAAGTTTAATGTAGGAGCAGCCAGACCTGCTAGCCTTAGCCCACCCGGCTTCCCAGTTCACAGCCTCCCTCCTCGCTACTTACTTGCTAACAGGACACAAAAATGTCTCCCCACACCCATGTTGTTTGAATCTAACAAAAAAGCACTGCCCACAAAACGTTGTGGTGGAAGTAAACACATTACTAGTATCAAAATATCATTTCAATTGGGATTCCAACTGTCGCAGCTCTATGTGTGTTGACATGAGCACAGAAACGCTACACTGAGGTGACATCATGAGACATCGTTTTCTGTCCTCCCTTTTCATCCTGAGCTGATAAACTGAAGCTGCTAGAAAATCAGTGAGGCGGAGCAGCCTCTTCCTCTGTCACCCCCCTTCCTCCTCTTCCTCCTCTTTTCTCTCGTCTACCTGCCCTCCTTACACTCTGCAGTCATTTGTTGATGTGACAGCAAATGTTTATCTTGTTTTTCAGGCTTTGGTTTGACAGAGCGTTTCAAAATAAGAGTCCTAATCCAGAATCACTGGATTACATCAACAAGCTTTGTTTTAACCAACAGTTCTAAAGAATAATTCCTGTTTATCACAACACCAGTCTTGTTGCCACAGCTTGGCCTTTTATTTTTTATCAGTAATGATTACATTGCAGTCAGAGATAAAAGTCAGACAGTCAAACATTCAGGCCGATAAAAAACAAAACTCTACCTTAGGAAGAGAAAGTTAATGGTACATTTATGACCTAAAGTGTTGCTTTATCACTTTTCTCCTCATAAAGCAGCGCCAGCGATGGTCCGACCAGTCAACCTGAACACCACAAGCCGACACATTAGTGATAATCATCTGCGCTCACGTTCAGATTTACCTCCATTTTAAAGGTGTTTAGTTAATCTGGATGAACTGCTGGTGTGTCTGCAACTTGATTGTGGTTGTAACGCAACACATCAGCCGGTGTCTCTTACATCAAATAGCACCTAAAGCATAGACGAGAAGGCACTAAAAAAATGTCCACATTTTTTGTCCTGAACTTTACACTTAAACTCAAGCTGATAAACCGAGTCACAGAGCATTGGTTACAGATTGAGTTTTTCTCTTTCATTATTATGTATGATACATCCTTTAATGTACTGTTCAGTCACACTTTTGCTGTAAATACCGTACTGTGACTCTCCATCACTGTGGTGTGGATGTCAGAACTAAGCTGTGAGAAATATTTATGCAAAGCGATCTCACAGACTGATGCAGCAGCAATGCTACGTATCTCATGTCTGATAAGTGCTTTATTCATATAATAATTGACCAAGCAATTAAAAATAGGACCCAAGTTGTGTTTAGGGCTGCAATTAACAATTAGTTCAATTTTGTTTTTGATTATTCGATTAGTTTTATTTGTATACATGCCAGAAAGTGCTGAAAAATGTCGGCATTTCCCAAAACCCAAGATTAAATGTCATGTTTTATCCATGACCCAAATATATTCACTTTATCGTCATAAAGAAGGAAAGAAACCAGAAAACATTCACATCTAAAAACTGGCATTGGACTGGAAAAAAATTACACTCACTGATTAATTGATTATCTAAATTGTTGGTATAATTAATTTAATAGATGACCCCAATCTATTAGTCATTGCCGCTGTAGTTGTGATAAACTAGAATTATCCTTTTTTTTTTTTTTTTACCAGGAACAAAATGTATTTGCTCCTCACTGGACACAAAACTGTTTAGTTAGTGTTTCTTATGTGAGTCTGTTTGGAGACTGTGTTCATTCCTGCTTTTTTTTTTCTCATCAAATGGACCTGATTCCACTTGGCTTTAAACTCCAGCTGACTGATCACGGTGCTGTCAGACGTCCTGGTGTGGAAAGTGAATCAGCTGAAGCTGGTGCCGGATGGCTGCTCTTCTGCTGCGGTGTTTAGTGAATGTGGCTGTTGAATGCGTAGAAACTCTGGTGTTGCTTTGTAGAAGCAGCTAACGAGATACAAGCCAATCTTCCTACACCTCCCCCGTTTCTCTCTCTCTCTCTCTCTCTCTGTTTCTCCTCTCCCCCTTCCTCCCCCCTCGCTGTAGCTGCTCCATCCTCCATGTTGGTTTTGGTTGATTTGCCGGCTGATTTCTTCTTGTCCCTCTCCTCCTCCCCCTGCCCTCTCCTCCCCTCTAGCCATCCATATTGCAGCCTGTCCAAGCCATATTCATGGGCCTTGTCCTGGCTCTCCTCTACTGGTGTTTCGGCCAGTTGTGGTAGAAAGGTACACATCGATATGACATAAGTCTGTCTGTCTGTCTGTCTGTCTCTGCTGCCTCCATCTGTCCGTCATCTCTGGAAGGAAAGATGACTGAGGTGAAAACGTCCTGATCCGTGATGAATTCAGGGTCACAGATTGATTTTTGGGTGGAACTCAGTCGAAAAGTAGACACCACACTCTCAACCCAACTCAGGCTTTCCTTAGACAAACATTGTTATTCCTGCAGGTATCAACCCATGATCCCAACCTCGTCGTTTAAAGGTGCAGTGTGATGGGTAGACGAGCCATAGTACCATTGCACAGCTACACTGGATATGTAATGCAAATATCTGCAGTTCACTTCTTTATTGTCAAAAAGAAAGTTTCTGATATCAGCTTTGTCTTTCTTCTGTGACAAAAGACGTCACTTTTAGCATTCAGTTTTTCAGGGTTTCTCATTAGAGACACAGTGCCTGTATAAAGGATTCAGCCCTTTTCATGCTTTTCAACATTTAATCATGGTCAATGTAATGTGGCTTTTTTTTGACAATTAGCAAGATAAACTTATGTCAGAATGAAAGCAGATTTCTACAAATTAATGTAATAATTAAAACATGAAATAGCAATAATAGTATCTGCAATTCAGCAGATTTCCTCATTTGAATTCTGACAAGACAGAATGATCAGAAGCTCCTGCAAACTGGAGGCGGCTTGCTTTTCAAACAGAGTTCAACTTATTATGACAAGTTGTTTTATTCTAAACTCATCCACACTTTGTTGTAGATCCACAAGTGTGTCTGTAGACAGAATGTTAGCAATGCGCCATAAAGTTTAACCACAGTTCTCAAATAAATGAAACTGGGGCTTTCTACAGATTCCTCGCTGATGAGCTTTTCCCATTTCAGAGACTTGTCTAATGATCGTATCCATCACAGCAGCCCCCATGACTTCTGCTAACTCTGTTCAGATAGGAATTAGTTTTGGATTAGTCATAATGACATTTGAAACATCCGCAACTTTTATTTTGACGAGACAAAACTGAATTACAGATATCTGTATCTATCAGAGTGATGTTCAGAATAAAAGACTTGACTCTTCACCATGTAATTAGTCAAAATACCATTGATATCTATGATTTTCATTCTGAATAGTCAAACTCGGCTCGTAAGTGTTAGAATGGCTGCCATGGGAGTTTTGGAGCCACTGTCTACTGCTTCATAAGACTCAGTATGGAGTTGTGGAGGAGTTGAACCCTGAATTCTGATCAGCAGGACGTTGTCTTCACCTCCAACACTTTCCTTTAAGATTAAGTATCATCATCATGATCATCATCGTCATCATCATCATCATCATGGTGTTGGGTGCTTGTCTGCTGGTTTGAGCAGCTCTAACTGCATGGCCGTCAGTCACGTGTTCTGCTCTGCTGCTGCTAACACTAAACTCATCCACAGACCGTCCACTTAAAGGGATACCTCAAGGAAACACGAGTCCTTCAGCTCCATAAAGGAGAATGCCTCCTTTTTTTTTACCGTTATACCGTGTCCTCACTGGTCGCTGTTGGATATACAGTAGGTTTGGAAATAGCAGGAAAACAACCAATGGAGGTATAAACAGTAATCAGGTGCCATTCATTTTGTAAAACACAACTGTGCTTTTTCAGCTCCGATGGGCAAAAATATGGTAAAATAGTCATTTCAGGGAGAAACCTGTCAGTGACTGTAGTGATCTGGCTCTTCAGCAAATTCATCCTCATCTGCAGTTTTTGTTCCTAAACTTTAGTTTAGTTACAAAATGTGTGCAGTTTGTGACCTTCACTAAACATTAAAGACGAACCAAAGAAGCTCCATTTATAAGACAGATGGTTTTTTTTGCCGTCAGTAAATTCCCACAACAGACCAAACCAACCAAGTGTATCTGAATAATCCATCACACGTAGTATAGTTTTTGTTTAAACATGCGACAGTTTCCTAAAGTAGTTAATAAGTGTTGTTTTTAGAGTTATTCCACCCTATTCTGATTGGTTGAAACTTTATTATTTAAAAACATTTAAAATGGCGTCTATGACATTTTAGATTGATATATAAAATACTTTCCAAGTACTTTTTTTTCTTCAATTGCCTGTTGACCCACTTTCATCACATTTTTTTTTCACATTGAAGTTAAACACTTACAGACAATATCTCAGGAGTTATTAAAGATAAAAGCCTGACATTCCCGCTGCTACTACCCATCATGTCATTTAAATGAATTCACATCAAATAGACTCTGATTATGGGTGACTGAAATATGAAAACAGTTGAATTTTTTTTAAAGTCAGCTAGTGATATTTTCTGAAGCACACATCGTTTCATGTCATGATAATATAAAAACAAATGGTATAGAATATTTTTAAGAAGAACAACTTGACCATAACAATGAAAATCCAGCTGTGTGCTTCAAGACATTTAATGACCACTTCAGTCATTTTTCAAGTCATTTTCAATAGTTTCTGAGCTCCTGTTCTCTGAAACAATTTCATATGTCAAGCAAGAATTTTGCAGATATCTATGTAAATATTGTAAATATATGCTGTAGAGTTTTCAGGCCAATCAGAGATGATCGAGCAGAAATTGTTCCAAAACAATCTGATGAGATCATGTGGAGTCCAGCCTTCAACTAGGTGTTGTTGTATTGTGGCTGATGCCGTTTAACTGTCCTCGAGCTAATTAAAGGAGCAGTTTAACCAGAGCAATAGAGTCGCTACTGATAAATAAGACGAAGGCAACACGTGTTACTGCATCAGTTTATTGGTCAGTACATAAGATTTATTGACAGGAATTAAAATAAAGATTATTCTTGAACATTTTCCCCCAAATTTAGCCCGTTTAGTTTGAAGGGAGAAATATTTTAGCACAGGTTTTATTTGCAGAAGGAGAAAAAGGTTGTAAAACCTCACTTTATATTTAGACAAAGACTTGTTTTAAATGATTAATCATAAATTACAGTCATCCTAAATTTCATTTAAGTATCCGACAATATGAAAAGAAACGCCCCGCGGTGTGATCAGTCTAAACAGCAACAGCTCCATGTGCTTGTGAGAGGTACGATTGTAGAAAAGGTTCTTTGTTAGTTTATTTCTGGCTGGGTATTCCTGTGATGCCGTGAAGATAAAGGCATCCCTTTAAGGAGTTGGTCTTCATGTCACTAACACTCTCCTCCTGCTGCTGCCTGCTTCTACATTCATTCATTCTCTTTCTCTTCTCCTCCCTCTCAGGTTCGGTGCTTCATTTTTTTACCTTCAGTTTTATGCGTTGTTTCTCTTCATCTTTTGCAACAGGGTTTGCGGTCTTATTAATTTCTGAATTAATTTCATTTTCCTTCCATTTCTTGCATCCAGTCCGCTTCTCACCCTCCGTTGTTTTTCTCTCATTGATTTGCTTCCAGGTTTGGCCTTCTGTTCACACTGACTCATTCATCTCCTTCCGAGCATCGTTTCTCGTTGTCATTTGTTTTCTCTCCAGCCATCGATGCTTTTTTATTTCCATCATGTTCCGTCCTGTGTTTGTGTTTGCTGCTTGTCTGTTCATTCGCCAACGTCCGACCAGTGTTTCCAGTTGTTTGCTGTGATGGAAAACTGGTCTGTAACTTTTTTTTCCTACTCAGGTAACCTCTTCGATCTCGTTTATTTGCTGCTTCCAGCTGACTTCTTATTTTATCTTTGTTTTTTTTTTGTTTACTCCTGTCCTCTACCTCTTCTGCAGTCCCAAAAGATGATATTTATTCTTTAGTTTTCTCTTGTCAGTGTTTTAGGCCGTTATCTTTTTGTGCACGATTGATGGTAAAAAGATAATTGACTGTAAATCTCTTCCGTGCAGCTTGCTTGTATTAGATTCATGTAGCCTCGTCACGGTGGAGACGTGACGTTCTTTCACCTCAAATCAGCGCAACACACATCTGATGTGTATTTGAAGTGTTGACAAGCGCAGCCAGTAAAAGTACGACAAGCCTAGAAGCAGTGAAAACAGCCAGCAGCACATTAATGTTAGCCTGTAGATAACAACACGTCTGCTGTGTGTGTGTTCTCCGATTCAGAAACTCATTTGCTGTTGTTGCGGTAGGTATCTTCACCCTCTGAAGGTCACATTTTGACTCACTGTGGGCTCATGTGTTGTATAAAGACCTCTAAGGAAACAACACAAACATGTCTCGAGGTAGAAACGTCAGTATGTTGTATTATTCCAGACAGAACATGGAATCAACATGTGCAACATTTGTTCAAGTGGCCCAGAGCGTTAACTCTACATACTGTAGATATTTTACTACTCACACTTTTCATTTGTTCCCATACGTGTCTCCTATCTGCTTTCTCTAAACACTACCTGCAGTTCAGATGCAAAGTCCTGACATTTTTTGATTTTTTTTTTTTGCAAAACCTGGTTCAAAATGTTAACTTTTGGTGAAATTTTGAGAAAATTAAGTCTTTTTAAATAAAATACTTTGATTTAAAGGTTTGATGGGGATCATTTTTCTGACAGAATGGCATCACAGGTGTTTAGTTGAGACCTAAAAATTAGTTTTTATAGTTTCTAGCTTTGATAAATGATGGGTTTTTTTTGTTGTTTTTTTAAAGATTTTTTTAGGCCTTTTGGCTTTATTTGATAGGCCAGAGAAAGAGACAGGAAAGTAGGGGAGAAGAATGGGGGAAGGACCTGCAGCAAAGGGTCATGAGCGGGACTCAAACCTATGACCGCTGTACATGGGACGCCAGCCCAACCAGGTGAGCTATAGTGGCGCCCAAGATAACAGACCTTTTAAACTTGCCGACCAGTTTTAGAGTTCAGTGGGTTAAACTCCCCTGACCGCGGTGGACACAAAAACTCGTGATGATTGCCGTGCTGTCAATCACTTCCTATTTTTTTTAGTAGTCCTTCCTCTGAAATCTATTTTTTAATTCAGTGCATCAGAAACTTTTCTGAAATGCTTCCTGGGTTTTTCCACTGCCCTCCGAGCTGCTGCTGTCGACTTTCATCCATCGCCACAGTTGCTCCCATGTGAGCTCCAGCAAACCAGTCACTGCTGGTTGACCTAAAATGCATCACTCCTGCTGATGCAGAGAGCTTTATTTGGTGCTGTGTGGGCCACTGAAGGCAACGGTGCTCAACTCCAACTGTAGAATAATGTAAACAATCTACTGAGTGGTTTTGATTTCTATAGACTGGTTTGTAGTGTTTTATAGCAGATGGAATAATTTTCTTATTATTTTGGTTGCAACTTTGTCATATAGAGTTTATTTGTTATTATTATTTTTTAAATCATTTTTGGCAGTTTAAGTCCACATCAGCTGTTGAGCTAACCTCAGCAGCGACTGCAACGTCCTCCATTAATAAACTCTTTACCATGAGATGACGAACCTGTGCAGCCAACAAAGAAGAAATATCATCTTGTGGACTGAATTCCAGCTTGGCTTTTTATTTCCTGCCGTCCCTCTGCTCCTCTTCAGCCTCCTCCTCCTCTCCTTACTCCTTCTTCTCTCTGTTCTGGTTTCGGTCTTCCTCCAGCTGGAGTCGTGACGTTCAGGCACTGCAGACTAACTAACTTGACTTTCCTCCTCTCTGTTTGTGTGGTCGTGTCTCGGACAGAGCGGCTGGAGCCCCTGGATGCCGGTCATCGCAGTGATGGTCGCCGTGACGGCAGCCGTCCTCTACCCAAACCTCTCCAAGAGCAGCTCCACCTAAGACACAAACACAGCGCTGTGAGGAGAGCATCACTGCTTTACTTGTATAAAGTCTAATTGTACATAATTGTAGAGGGAATATAAAGGTTGTGGTTTCTACAGAGGACTCAGATGCTTCTTGGTTTATTTTGATTTTGTGTTGTTGTTTTTTTTTTTTGTTGTTCTGGGGAGTTTTGTTTTTATTCTCGGCTCTCTCTCAGCTGTGGTGGGGGCTTTTTGGTTTTTCGTCTCTCTGCTGATTTCTGGGTAACACCTTGTTCTCCAGTCGGCCGCCGAGCTTCCACGCTAAACAAAAAAAACCTGCCTGATGTGACGTTCACACCGGGCGAGCGGAGCTTTCCAGCAGCCTCAGTGCAGGTGGAGGAACACGATCCTCCTTCATCACTGAAGGAAAGACAGGTTTGCCGGTTTTCACAGTTTTCAGAGAGGCTGCAGATGGTGTTTATCTGCAGCTGTGACCGGGCTGCAGCTTTATTTTACTCATTAACTACTTCAGACCAGCTCTGTGCGTTCACCTGCCTCCTACACACATCTCCAATATCGGCATCGTTTATTGAACCTTTTTTACTGCAGAAGCTGGCAGGCTGTTGAGGGCCGGCGTGAATCTTTCTGCACGTTTTGATCACAAGAACCGATGTCAGTGCCATTTTTAACTCCAGGTTAGATACATCTTGAGCTGTTCTGGATCTCATTGCTGATTGGTTAAACTTTTTTTTGCCATCCTAATGTCCTTGTTAGGTCGCAATCCTCTCTCAAACATTGCCATCATAGCATATGCCACGTACGCTAACAGAACAAACCCCCCGTTGTTCTATTTCCTACATTCTCCTAGAAATGGAGCTACATCTTTGTTAGCATTCTATCAAATCAAACAGTGGAAACAGAAAGGCGTAAAGGGCTGCGTACAAAAACTCCCGCGCATGGTGGCAGTGAAAAGCTGCATACTTCCTTTAGGGATTTAAGCTGCAAATGTTTGTCTTTGACTTTTCCATGCAAAAACATATATGCACATGTTCTGTTTTTTTTTTTTTTTCCTGGCTAGAAGTTAGCTTTGGTTGCTGCAGGTGTCACATCAAATTCAAGGCTGAATGACAAACCTGGACATGTGGGCGTCACACTGAACACTTTGGCCTCATCCAGGCCCAGTGAACCTCCATCACGTCACACTGGAGCTCAGTAAGAAACCGGCATAATGTAAAGCGTGCATCTGGGCTGTAGGAGCACAAGCGAAGCACAGACAGTGACGAAGATCGCATCGGTTCACCTCCATCGCTGCTGCAGTCGACTGAGTCTGTTGGAAAGTTTGTTTCAGGAAGTTCTGCTCTGTTCTGCTTCAGTCGGCCACGTTCCAACACAGCGCTTTCTGTCCTTTGTTTTTTCTCTCTTTTTTTTTTTTCTGTGGGAGTTTGGGGTCGGGGTTAAAACTTGAAGCCAAATTTTAAAATAACATCTGATTTATTTGTTTTGGGGTTTGTTTTTTTTTGTTTGTTTTTTTCAAATTTCTGGGGAGGGGGGGCACAGAAAATGGGGTCAAAGTGCCTCTGATGTAACTAACACCACAGTTTGTGTATGTGTGCGGACAACCACATCTGATGAACACACACAAACACACACACTTGTGTTTATTGATCTGTCCGAGGCCTGTTGGTTTTTAGGAGTCTGACCAGCTTTTTCCTGAGCTTTCAGCTGCCGCTCATTGCCTTCTTGGCCCAGTGGAGGCAGTTCAGGGCTGCGACTGGTGGCTGTTTACATGTTCTTGATTAGTATTTTAATTTAATCCAGAAAAAGTCAGTCAAGAACCCAACACAATGTCTTGTTTTGACTAAACAGCTGGAATAAACACACTGAGCAGCTGATGAAGCCTGTGAGATGGAGGTTAAAAGCTCTGGAAGCGGCTGATAAATGATGGAGTTATGTGACAGACTGAAATATCTCTTCAACGGATCAACATTTGGTTTCATGTAGCACCACCGTCTGGTCGAGCTTTAGTCCTCTACAGAATAGCTCAAAAACCATTGACCGAATTCTGTACAAAAAGACAAAAAAAACTGAGTTACTGTTGTCATGCTAGGCTACCGTTAGCTTTATCATGCTAATGTTAGCATTGAGGCCAGTGTTTACATGCTAGCTACACGTTAACCTACAGCGTGAAGGACGGGTGAGACTTCTGGTTTAGTCCTTCTGATCATTTTCCTAACGTCACAACGACATCACAGTCTGTTTTGAGCAACCTCGTGTCATCTTAAGAACAAGTTTGTATCACAGATGTTCTCCAGTGACTCTGATACCGAGGATGAGGCTGCGTTCGTGTCACGTCTCATATCAACACAGAAGTCCTGATTTATCCATTTTGGCATTTAATTGTTGGAAAATGTGCAAATCAGTTAAATATGTTCATGTGCTTCTCACTGATTGAACCCAAACTGAGCAGAAGGTGCTGGATGTTTACGGCTCCATGATGTGAATGCTTGGAAGTCATCAACTTTATCACTTTTGTTCAAGATAAAATTACTTTATCCATAGTTTGCCGAACACATTTCTCAACAAAGAGCTTTGCAGCTTCACAGCTTGAACATCTTCTGTTTGTTTTTGATGAAATCTTCGGTTTTCTTTTATGAAAATTCTCAGATGTGTCCAAACTTTTAACAGAAAGGAAAAGTGACCAATGTGTTTTGTCAGACCAGCGTTTGAACTTCCAACACTTGAGGCCTCTGCAGAAGAGTGTGTGTGTGTGTGTGTTTGTGTGTGTGTTGTTGTTGTTGCTGTTGAGGGGAGGGTTGTGGGTCTGTTCACACTCTGGACTTTTTGAGCAGTGCTCGTCATCGTCCGTGTACTCTGTCTCGTCTCCGTGTTTCAAAAAAAGAAAAAGAAAAAAAATAGACAACGAACAAATATTCCCGATGTTTAAAGAGAAAAACACTACAGTACAGAGAGAGAATTGTAAAATAAAATGTTATTGAATGACGTGCTACTAGACTTATTTTGTTAAAATTGTTTAGAGATATGAGAGGGGGCTATGTAGAGGATATGATGATGCAGATGTATTGAATATGCAGAGCGATGTTTGGATTAAAGTTGTAGCAAGCTGACCCACCAAACCTGCTTCCAGCGTCTTCATTCACACAGTCTGTGGGAAATAATGTGAAATAGTCCAGCAGATGTCAGAGGAATCAGTCGTTTTGTCATAAAAGCACAAAAACTGTCATTAAAAACAACATGGTGGCCATTTGTCCAGAAGGCCGGCGTACTGGATGGACTCCTGCCACTCATCCTCACTGCTTACTTCACTCACCAGTCATGTCACTGCAAATATGAACTTTAGCAACTGCAGTAAAATGTAGTTAAATCAAACTGTCATAATTCAAAGTACCTGCATAACTCACCACGTTTTTACTGCCAACAGGCTAGAAATAACTCCTTAGTGCAAACTCATTTAAATATGGAGCTGAATTAACAAGATTTAATGGGTTTATAGATGTTTTCTGTTGCCAGAATCAAATTAAAAAATGTAGAAATGTTGATGTCACAAAAGTTGGAAAAGTGAGTAAAAAAAAAAAAAAAGCTAAAATTCAATAAATGTGATTCCTGTGCCCACTTTCTTGGAAAATGGCCACAACTTAGAACTTTTGTAGTTATTTTTTATCTCCATGTTGGGCCGATGAGTCATGCACATGCCAAAATAAATGCTCGTATGATAGTTTAAAGGATTTCTCAGTTATCTGTCCCACTAACGGGACGATGCTGCTTTTCAATCAAATTAGGGCTATAAATGTGTAATGTTTAATAATGTGTACTTTCAGATTTCTTGGAAGAGCTTAATCTGAAACATCAAAACTGAAAGCTGTTATTTAATCTTTTTAAAATGATGTGTTTCCAGAAGTTTGATGTACTTCTGAGGTTCACTTTGTGATCCAGTGAGAAGACAAACAGGATGAAGCTCAGACATGAAGTCATGAAGAGCAGCAGCATTAAACAGGCCTCGACATGTATGTCCGATGTTTTCTCCAGCTGTCGTCTCATGTCTTCACCGTCTTTTAACTGGGGAGGGGGGGAATACTACTGTTTTAGAGATTTTCCCTATTATGTTAAATTGCACATAACATCCAGGAAAATCACCCAAAAAAAAGTATTGATTATGTCCAATCCTTCCCATGTCAGTCTGTTTACAGGATGTCATTGTTGTTTTTATATTTTTAAAAAGTGGAACATTTCAAAAACAGTCTGGGCTGCATCAGTGATGAGCAACAACATTGATTCTGATGCAGTATTATTTTTTATGCAGTGTAAAAATTAAAAAAAAAATGTTACTCTGGACCTTAAGGACAAAAATTTGTTTGTCAAAAAAATAAACAAAAAAACAAAAAAACACCACATACATGTTATACACTATCATTATTTTCTACTTTCATTGACTCATTTTATTTCACCAACATACGTCCTGATCATAATTACCAAACATTCATTCATTTTCAGGATTTTAACCCTTACAATGCCTGTTTGTTTGCATGATGCCATTGTTTTTGTTTTTGTTTTGTTTTGTTTTTTATTTTTTTAAAAACACACCAAAAATGAATTGTTTTCCATAAAATAAGAGTGAAGTGGAATTTTCTTTTTTGGATTATCACAGGCTCAGTTTTGTCATTGATTCACACCAACATTTTCATGCATTTTTAATTTTTTTTAATGCTGTGTCAGATTATTTTGTAAAAATAAAAACTCACATTAGACAATAATAATATCTATAGTCAAAAAAATGCCATAAAAAAGTTTTATATTACTATGATTTTCCACATTTGATAACTCATTTGTTTTCTCCAACATTATTTCTGGATATTACAACCAAATATTCAGTGGTTGTGGGGATTTGAACCCTCTGCATTCTTATTTTTGAGCAGTATAAAATCACACAGGCTTAAAGTCCATGTAAAATGCCGACTGTTGTTCATTACTCCTATCAAGGCTTTTACCTCCCAACTGGACATCACCTTATATTGCGCAAAACAAACAAACAAAAAAAACACGTTTACAGTTGAAGAGTCGTCTAAGTCCTGCTCATTGTCTGCAGGCTGATTATCTCCAGACTTTCTCTTCATCCTTCCAGGTGGGATACAAAATGATCAACCCCTCAAAACTACACATACTTATAGTTTGTGGTTGTGATTGCATCTGTAGAAACTCACTGGTGGTCTAAAAT